CCAATTTATGGGGCTGTGAGGTTAGACAACATTATGTGTTCCCTTCTTCTTCTGTGACTTTGAACAGCCAGGTATCTTGAAAGGAATTCTTGGTGTTACTGTAATTCAAGACATATCCTACAGAAAGTTACATGATCTACCTTAAAGCCCGTAGTCCAGATCCAAAGGGACCACCTAAACCTGAAAGCTGAGGAGAAAACGATGTGCACATTTCATCAAACCTTCAATCACTTTCAAGCTCCGTTGCTTTCAAAAGGAGAGATTAACTGTCCCATTGAAATCAACGCAGGTTAGCAGGTTTCTCCATGCATTCGAACTTTTTGATGGCTGCAACAGCAAGTAGTTATTTCCATATGTGAAACAGCCATCACAAATCAAACACCATCTCACACCATGTCAAGCCCAATGATTTTCAAGTGAGGCAGCTCACCACAATCAGTGGTAAGTCACTGTGTGATGCATTATAGAGTGGTGTGCATTCATACATGCATGTGTCAGGAATGTGGCTGCATAGTGACAAAGTGATATACAGTCAACGAGCAATTTGCGCAGGGGTTCCATTCTTGGACCCCATGCGTGTTAGTGGAGAATGTATAAGCACACCCCACCCCATTCTGCTCTGCTCCTGTTCCACCCTTTCAGTGACGTGTTTTCTAACATTTTCAGTCATTTCTGGGTTTGGTGCTGTGCACACATGTGCTTTCATGCATCTTTTGGATACATCTTAAGCGGCCGTTGCCAGTATTGTGAACTTCCCCTAGAGCTTGGTCCCAATAATAGGTATACATCGAATCTTGAAACCACGGAGGAGTTATAGCGTATCAACCTTCATAGTGCTTTGCAGCATGTCATCTGTCTGGGGTAACTAGATTTTTCCTGTTGTCTGCACCATTATCACGTTAAAGGTGTTTGTTTTGTTTGTCACTGTGGAAGAAAGAGCAGGGTGCTGAAATGAAAATGCTAGTGCTGTATGACTGAACGTGTGGCGGTTATTAACAAGCCCACATTGTCCTGGATACTATTTGATGCTGTGGATTTCAATCCTGAACAGTTTTTACATTGTTTCAAAACCAGTTCCTGTTCAAAATGTAATTTAAAATATCCAAAATACTGAACTATGGTAAAATTGCTCCTCAGCCATTTATGGTGTGCCTCTTATACCCATGACAGAGATATGTCTGCCTGTTGAAATAGTAGAATATCAAGTCTTTCCAATAACACATGGATCAATGAAGCAATAAAACAATAACACGTTGCTCTTAATTTACAGTCTTACCTTGTATTGTGTGCTATGATGATTGCCACTATGATGTGCAAGAGTTTTGTCTTTGGTGATCAATGGGAACCTGGAGGTTCCTTCTCCAGGCAATAAAAAGAAGTTATTCTACATTTTCTGGTCTTTATTCCCTCAACTCTGGAAGTTCACAGGTCCCTTTCAGGCCTTTATTTATTTATTTATTTATTTATTTATTTATTTAAAAATCATTTATAAACTTCAATATGTCTGCATACATATACCCTGAATATGTAAGAAACCATTCTTTTGTGGTGCATCCAAACCGATAGGCACTTGACCATCTGAGATGGCATCACATCATCCATTCCTCCATCACAAAAGAGGAGTCATGCCACGGCCAGATTGTTGGATGAGAACCTGAGAACATGAGAACCTTAAGTTTAAATCTGCCCAGCACCATCATTGTGCAGTGCTTGAATAAAGCTCCCCTTTAGCAAAAATAAAGTGCAGTATCTGATGGGAATGATAGCAATTGTAGATGAATGGCTGAAACTGGATTCCCTCTGAAACAAAGTTGTGTGCTTCATAGACACCTCCTGCTCCCCTCCTGTTCAGCTATAGATTCCTTTGTCTATCTCTTCCTTATGCTATTATCTATAGTGTCATCTGTGTGCCAGGTGCTGGACAAAACACTGAAGTCTGGCCGAGAGAACTTGGCAGCATTTGAATTACGTAATATGTATAAAAGGTGTGATCAGAACTTAGAACTTATCTTAAACATTCCCATCACAGTGATACACCAAACAATGTAAGGAAGGATTCAGATATCATACAAAATGCTGGAAGGTTCACTCTTCAGTGGCATAAATCCTAACACCTAGAAAATAATGCTCAAGCAGCAGCAAATTATGTTGAATTGGTAAGTGGGCAGAGCAATCATAGGTGGTGGAGGACTCTGTGGCAGAGAAACTGCAACTTTATAAGTTCTGCCAGCTTTCACGGGCAAGGGTGTGTGTGTGTGTGTGTGTGTGTGTGTGTAGGAGACGGGTTTTCCATTCCCAAGACCCACCACTGTTCAGCCTTCCAAATTTTCCCCTCCTGATGACACTGATATTCTATTTTGGGGAGTGTGTTCGGTGAATGAGAGGGCCTTGGATCCAAGATCTGCCCTCTCCAGCATTCTTGAACACCCTGTTTCTGGCCTTGCTCCTTTCAGAGTTACTACTGGTAAACTCTGACAGCAGCAGAACCTGGTTCCACACCCAGAAAGCCTCTGCCTGCAGAGAGGGAGGTCTACACCACCCAACAACTTCTCAGCCACCCTTGCAGGGAACAGAAGTTCAGTCCCTTATTCCATATAAATAATTAGATACCTTTCCATTCCTTTTCTTTTTAAAGAAAGCCACTGAATTCCAAAGTACAAATACTTTTCCTTTTCTTTTGGCAATAGGGATATTTAATTAAATATATACTTTTATGTTTTCTTTAAAAAAAATACAAGTGGCTGCATTGGTTCATGGGGTTGGGGGAATCTAAAAGTCAACAATATGGTGATATGCACAGTAGGAGAAATGTAAATGTCTCCACATACTGAGCAAGCTTCAAAGTACCCCAGCACTCTTGTTAAACAACAAGCAGAAAAAGAGAGGAGGAAAGAAAAAAGATGGTCTTGGGTATCTATCATCTATCTATCTATCTATCATCTATCTATCTATCTATCATCTATCTATCTATCTATCTATCTATATCCATTTGTCCACATTCTGTTTTTTGTTTTGCTTTACATCCAGCCTGAAGAAGCATTCTGTGGAACTTCAAAGCTTGCTCTCTGTTGTGTGACATTTCCAGTTGGTCTTAATTAAAAGGATTATCCTGCTCTTGATTTTGGATTTAACCTGGATTGTCTCTTGTTTTCGGGGCCTCTTCAGATTGTGAAGTGGTGTGAATGTTTTAAGCAATATCCATATACCTGAATATTCATTGTGAGAGTTGAGGCTGCAGGGAACCAGGCAGAGGGCCCTTTTCGGTAGTCCTTGCGCTGTGGAACACCCTCCCAGCAGATGTCAAACAGATAAGCTGCTATGTGATTTTTGAAAGACATCTGAAGGCAGCCCTGTACAGGGAATTTCTTAGTGTTTGATGCTATATTATGTTTTTACTGTTTTTTCTTGGGAGCCGCCCAGAGTGGTTGGGGCAACCAAGACAGATGGGTGGAATAATAATAATAATAATAATAATAATACATGCTCCATGCCCTTAATTTATCACCTCTGTAAAAGTCATGTTTTATTCTGTATTTGAACGCAATGAACACCTTTCCTCTATTCCCACCCCCTCCGCAATGAAAACACAACCCTCCATGTACAGATCAGAAGGCAAGTGCCAAAACTACGACGAACCCAGAAAGCAGACCGTCGTGGAGTTTCACAAGTGATTTACCGCCCTAGAGAAACAAGGAGGAAGGTCAGCAAGTCAGCCTGTCCCCTTTCCGAGAGCGGCCACTTTAGGGCCCAGGGAGCGCTTCTTGGCCGCGCTGCGGTCGCCAGGCAAAGGGGCAAGGTTGCTCTCAAGCTCTTCTCGGGCGATGCTCTCGCAGAGCTGAGCTGGTGAGCTGGCACAGCGGAGTTTGCGAAGGCCAAGTGAGGATCTGTTCAGACGGGGCACCAGGGAACGCGAGCTGCTGCCAGACGAGCGAGCACGCCTAGGCTTCCCCCGAGGAAGGGAAGGAACCGTTATTTTATCTTCCAGCCACCCCGACCCAGCTGCCCTACTGGCAAAGCCTTGCGAGTTTTATCTGGCTCCCCCCCCCCAAATCGTAGGAGCATCCCGCTTGTTCCCCCGGAGCCCGCGCGCCTGTTTCCTGTGCAGTTTGTTTGGAGACGTCCCGGGTAAGTGAAGTCCCGCTGGCGCGGGGAGACGGAAAAGCCGCCCGAGTTTGGGAAGTGGGGCTGCTCCACTTTGGCGAGAGCGGAGCGGAGGGTCCGCGAGGAAGGCGCAGCAGAGGTGGAGGGAGGAGGGGGGCAGAGGAAAGGTCAGCGCGCTGCGAGAAACGAAACGACAACAGCAGCCTGCCTCTCGCCTCCCACCCCGGCTGGGCGAAGGCTTTCGGGCAGAGCAATGTTTTCAGAGCACGTTGGAAAGTTAGGCTGGCTGGACAGCGTGGAGCGAGCGCTGCCGCCTCCAATGTCGACGAGATGGTGCTGCCGCCGCTAGCGGCGGACTTTCCCTTGCAGTGCAAGCGGGACTCCCTCTGCTGCTTCCTCCGAGAGCCTCGCCGCTCCTCCGATCTGCTATCCCGTTGAGCCGGAGGGCTCGGATCGGAGCCCATCCGGACACGCACCTCGCGTTTATCTGCCGGTCGATTCCCTGCTTTAGCCTCATCTGTCTTTATTGACCTCAATGGGCAAACGAAGACGCCACGCTTCCTAAGCATTTAAGCAGCTCCCCCACCCCAGCTCCGTCCCCTCGCCCTCCTGGCTCCACATCCATCCCATCCCAGCCAGCCAGCCCACTGACCCACCGGTTTAAAAAAGAAGTGTCGCCGCTGGGGACCTCCGGGCGCCCTCCTTCCTTTCCTTTCCTTTCCTTTCCTTTCCTCCCTCCCTCTTAACTTCTCAATCCACGCGCGCCTGGGGAGCTGCCGGGGTCGCCTCTGGCCGAGACCACTTCGCTGGCCCAGACGACTCCAACCACGATCTCGCGCGTCCTCTCCTCCTCGCCCCCACCCGCCCCTGTCCAATATCTTCTGGGGACACAGACAGACCTGATCAGAAGGGGGACCGGCATCTGCGGGGCGGTGTTCTCCGCCTCTCTGCCGCGCGATCGCTTTGCTCGTGAATAAAAATAATAGTAATAATAATAAGGATTGTCACCAAGGCTTGTTCCGTGGCATATACCAAGTCCTTCGACTCCCCATATCCACTAACCAAGACGTGCCCCCCCCCACTATTGGGCGCGCTCGCGCTCTCCCTACCCCCCCCCCGGTAAAAAACTAAAATTAGCAAAATGTCAGGCATGGCAAGATTGATTCAGCCAAGATGCAATTATCATTTAAAAAGTGCTTGATTGAGGTGCCTGATGTTGGGTGATTTATTCTGCATACCATATACATAATTAAAGTAGGGTAGTGGAGTAATTTATCAATCTCGTTGAGACTAGAGAGGGGCGAGAGAGAAAGAGAGAGCGAGAGCGCTTTGCCGTTGCCTCTTCCTCCCCTTCTAGACTCCTAGCTGGTCTCTCGCCTCACTCTCGCTGTGTTTGTTTTATTAAAACGCTTTCGGGATGTGATCCCGCCCCCTTTTTTCAAGAGTGAAACTGATTATTTCTCCAGCTCGGCAGGAGAGAGTCATTCGTTTGGGATTGTGGGAGAGAGAGGGGAGAAGAAGAGGAGGAGGAGGAAGAAGGGAGGAGGAGGAGGAGGGAGGACACAAGCAAGAGAAGCTTCGCCGGGCGTGTAGTTGTGAAGCTTCCTTTCCCTGCCTCTCTCTCTCTCTCTCTCTCTCTCTCTCTCTCTCTCTCTCTCTCTCCTCCATCCGTGATGTTACAAAGCCTGTGAGCTGTTCCTTTCCCCCACTCGCCTCCTGTCACTTCCTTCCTAGACGCTCTCAGGACGATTCCTGCTTACTTTTAATCCGGCCAGCAGCACGGGCACTTTCGCCTCCTGAATCCTCAGATACACACACACATACGCCGCCACCATCGCCAGAGAGCTGCTGGCTGCTCATTGGATTGCTTTGCAAGGTTGTGTGTGTGCGCGCGTGTGCGTTGCGCGCGCGCGTATGTGCGGTTAAAGGAGGCTGCATGTTGAACCAGGTGGTGAACATCTTACAAGGCTGGAAGAACTAAAGGCTCCCCCCACCCCTGCTTCCTTCTCCTCCTCCTCCTCCTCCTCCTCCCCACCACTCTCCTCGGTCTCTTGTCTCTTCTTCTCCCTCGGTTGCTCCCAAGAAGGGGGAAATATCTCAAGGACTAGCCTGATCATCCAGCCCTTTGCAATGTAAGTACACGTGCGATTTCATCGCGAAGTAGCATAGACTTGCTCCTTCAGCCCCTCGTGGAGGCATTGCAATGTTTTGTATGGCAGGAGGCTTAGCATGTACTGGGAACGTGCGTGGCGCAGACATAGCGTAATCGGGTGGCTTTAAAGTAACTTTGCACTCAAACCCAACATAGTTAAAAGTTGCAGAGAAATTGTGTCTCTTCTTCCCCCCCCCCCTCCCCATCCTCCATCAGCTGCATGAGTATTTAAACTTTCATGAATTTAGTTCACGTCATTGGTGTGTTTTGATATTGTGAAGTGCACTCAGGTTTGTTTGTCTGACCTTGGAGTACTTGCCCTGCGAGTTATCAAACAGTGCAGTGAAGAAATAAGCTGGCATAAGTGCAAATGGCCTTTTCAACTCGGCTGTGTGCAGCACGTCACTTTTGTTTTAATGCCTCGGTTTTCGACACAGCATCCCTCCCAGAGCATCTTTCTCATTTGCACACTTTGCTTTGAGATGGGGGAATCTGGGAGATCCGAATGGGTAAAGGTCTCTCTCTCTCTCTCTCTCTCTCCAGCCTTTCCAACTTTAGCTGTAAGTTAAGCAAAGCTAGATTGCTCCCTGGCAAGCTGTCTAACTTCATTATTTATCTTATTTTCACCCGGTTTTAGTTTTGTGTGGAGGAGGAAGGGAAATCTATAGAAGATAGTGTTTCATTATTTGAAAATAGTTATATTTTGGAGTAGCTCAATAGACTTGATTCGGGAGATCATGTGAGAATAGTGTTACTTTAATAATGCTGTTTGTCTGAATTGTAGAACTTGTTGTTTTCATATTTACGTAGCTGGCCAAGCTTGTAGTGTCTCATCTTTAGAGTAACCAAGATAGGTCTTTTAAAATTAAATGCTTATGGTACACACCTCATACCTGCTACTGTTTTAAAGTGATTAAGCGGAAGAAGGGCATTCAGCCAATATTTCAGTGGTGGTCTATAGATTCCTAGCTCAAGACAAAATGCTTTTTAGTAGCGTATATAAAATGAAACATGAAGGCCATTGTCTTAAATATATATCAGTACCTTACATTTGCTTTACTAGAGGATATAAAAGTGTCCAGTTGGCCAATTACATTAGACAGATATGTGAAGCCTGTTTTTTTCCCCCTTTCCCGGTGGCACTTAGCAGTGGCATTGTCGTTATAGAGTATACATATTTATATGTAATATAATAATGCCAAACCCTAAGGCATAATAGAGACAGGGTATAGGAATATAATCACCTGTGAACCAAGACCTATTTTTTACAGAATAATTTCAGGATGCTACTTCAGTCCCAAATAAGGTTCAAGGAATCTTTTATCATAATGTGTTATTTATGTTTTAAGGAAGTTATAGTCAATAAAATGAGCATCTTTTGAAGCATTTATATGTCCCCCCTATGCTTCAGTGCGCATTGTATCTGTTCTTAATATTATACAAGATTACTCAGTGCCACTGGAAGCACTGGAATATATTTCACTAGCTAAAATCCTCAAGATTTGGAAAGCATTGCCTGCAATCTAGCAAAACATATGTATATGAATTGTTATTGTATGTTATGATATTAGTTTCGGGGGGGGCAGTTCTATGATTTGATCCTGCACATCTTTCTATGAGTTAGATTTCACAAAACTGCTTGGGTGACAATAGACAACTCATAGGAATGAGTAAAATGAAGCTGATAAACAGAAAGAAATCTCTTTTTGACAGGTTCCAGATATGACATAAATGATTAGATAGCCATTTTATCCTTGCTGATAACTGCATATCGTTGGAATATATGAGTTTCACTTTTCTCTAAAGTGTGCTAAATTATAAACACTGCACCTATAGTGAGGTTGTCTCAGAAATGTGTACCTGGGATTGCTTTACAAATATCATTGTACAGAATGCAGTTAAAGTTACTTGTTTGGGTTGCCTGTTCTGGAATCCTTAATGTGTGTAATAATGACAATGTAGTACCTGCATGGTAAGGATGTTTACTTGGAAAAGAAGTTGTAGGCAAATAACTCGCTTGTTGATAAATTCTTATGATAATAGGGCAGATGGATGACTTTTCATAAACCATCATGTAAGCAGGTACCTGTCTTAATATACCTAAACTATATACATTTATATACCTAAAGCATATATTCAAATATGTAAAAATATTTTTGTCTTGTGATTTAAAAATATTAAGTAACTCTTAGGAGGACAGAAATATTCCTACCAGTTCTGAATTGAAAACTAATTAAGTTCTATATTTTCCATTTATTACGTGGATAAAAATGGGTAACACCGCACTCCAAAACGCATTTACTAAGTTGTAAGTTCTGTTGAAATCTATGGAACTTGCTTCTAAAGGAAAGTTATTTGCCAGTGTTGTTGTATTTAATAGAATTTGTTCACAATTATTTTGTTTTTAAAATGTCTTATTTCTAAGAAGTAAATTTTTCAGAAGTTTGACACACTAATCAAGGGCATACTATCTCTACAAGACAAGCAGCCTTTTAAATGTTTTCAGCAAGTCATGATTTCATGTCAGATGCCAGAGAGAATGATCACTTTAATAACTTTCAGACTTTAACCTGTTGGACATAGACCAACTTCTTAGCTATGTAGCCTAACCAAAATTAGAATAACATGGATCTGAGTGGTTTTAAACTCTCTGATTATTTCTATATGAGGTTCACAAAGTTCTATTCATGGAAATAAAAATAGTATCTTCATCATTTCTACACATCATGTTGTATTTTGTGTAATGTGGGTTCTTTCCCCATGTTAAATTCAAGTTTTATGTAAATGTACGTTCCTGGCTACCCGGCAAGTTAAATGTTATAAATGAAATTCAGAAAAAGTATACATCTTGCTAAAAAGTTTGTTAACTAACTGAAGTGTAGCAAGTTGTGGCTTTAAATGACTGATGGCATAGGTCTGCCGCATTTATGTTTGTAAAATACAACATATATACTTTAGAAGTACCGGTAGTTGACGCAGACTGCAGAAGTTGCAAGTGAAATCTGCAGATATTCAGGCACATCTCCTTGCTTTTTGAATATAGTAATTGGTTTGCTGCTCTGAACAGATTTAAGTTAATCTCCTGAGAGCTGACGGTCAATATGTTACATGCGGACAGGTGATTAAATCCCAGTATCTTCAGTTCTGTACCTTAATCTCAACTGTCGCATTGACTGCAGTGCAGTAGAGCTTGGCTGTTCGCTGGGATTTGTCATCTTTAGGAAATCAGAGCAGCTTATAGAGACAATTCACAAAACCAACAGTGACAACAAAGTCTTATGTGCCTTACAAAAGGAGGATTAGGCAGTTCAGATGTCAACTTGATTGGACAGAGATAAAAGCTGATTGCTGCTGCGTGGCAAGGCACACTTCATTTTCAATTGGTTATTTATTACATAAGGGCTACTATAGCATGATTGCTTAGTCATTGTTAAGTGCAATTGGAAGCATGGGGAAATCATTTTTTTTTTAAAAAAATGGAGGGGGGATTGCAATGTGATCATTCAAAAATTGCAGCTTAATGGTATTCTAATGCTTTGAGAGCTCAGTGGCTGTGCAATTACTATAGAACCTTAAAGTTTTATGTAAATGCACTACCTGGTTATATGAACCTTCTTCCCAAGTAATCGTTCAGAAAGTCAAAGACTACACCTATTTCTTACTGTACCTCTATAGCAAAATGCAACGTAAAGGCACAGCGAATCCTCTAACCAGTTTATTTTGGAGGATTTCTGTTGGAATCATGGAGATTGCTATTGAATAAATTCAGGATGGCAGCTATTTGCCTCAGTTTATAATTTATTTATTTTTTATGTGTGCAAGGCTTTTAAACTCTCTTCCTCCTGGAAGCTTTTGGCTAACTTTTAGAATGGAATACTCAGTTGTGTTTTTTGTATTTGCATCTCTGGAGGGTTAACTAATATTTTTTGAATTAAACTTTGGAAGCACTGAACGTTCTAGCTGACTAATTGTCTAGTTTCTCCCCTTTTATTAAAACCTGATAAAACCCAATGGATACCCCTCAGTGTCTTACGCTGTGTGACCCCAATAAGTTAGCCATAAATGTAAACATTCCATTCCATTGCCTTTGGCAGAGGTAAAGGTGATCTCTAAAATTAATACTGATATGCTTACTTTTTTTTTACTGGTGGTTTGTATTTTTAGAATTTAAAATAATATAATTAAAATGGGTAACACTCATTTAGCTATAGATTTCCCCCTATTTGTCATATAGGAAATTTCATTTCCTATGTGTTTCTCTCTTGCCCTCATCCTCCCCGCCCCCACCTTTTCATTCCACATGACCTTATTTGTAGGATTCATTGCTTGGTTAAGGTGCAGTACATGTTAATAAGCAGATGTGGACTGTGATCCTAAGCACACTTACCCGAAGTAAGTTCCACTGAAATCAGTGGGGCTTAAAATAAATGCTTATAGAGATGAAGAGCCAGTCACTAGAGAGAAAGGACTCACCTAAAGCTATGTCCCCAAGCATGTTTACTTGGAAATAAAGCTCTTCTAAAACTAGTGGGATTTGTTTTTAAATGATGTGTTAGGACTAGGGTGCCAGTCAACTTAAATCAAAGCACTCTGGTTTAACTAGATTGTGGACTGAAGTGTGTAAGCATTGAAAACGAACAGTGGTAAGATTGCCGTTTTACTTTGAGGCTGCGAAAATATATAAACAGTGTAATAGAGCGTTTAACCTACCCCAAGCATTTCATAGCACTACAAAGTAGAAGTTTAAGTGGCAAGAAACTGTTTTAAGGCATGTTGTTATACTTCATGAAGCATTATTAATAATAAAGTATAATAATAGAATGTGCTGGGAATTAAATGTATTCTTTCAACTTACTCTCAATTGTCAAGAATAGAGTGGAAGCTCACAACTGCTCTGGTTTATGTTTGTGTTACATGTTTTTTTATAAAATCTGGATATGTCTGTGTTTGTAAGCAGCATTTTCAGCGTACAGATTATGA